ATTTGCGATATTTCGATAATTTCGATATATCGTGCAGCCCTACTACATACCTACCTACCTACCTACCTACATACATACATACATATATAAACCAAACTTTTAAATGGTAGTGTATATTGAATAGTTTATCTCAGCAAATTGAAATATGAGGGGATATATAATAAGATATACTGCCTTAGAAATCCAGCACTGTGTTCATCTGAAATGAAAAGCATGTGTTCATTTAGCATTAATAAGATACAGTAAGAGAGAGATACTCACAGTTCAGTGGTAATATATGTTCAGCTACTGGATGGTGAAAGTTGAGACCCATGCGACCTACAAAGAGATGAGAAAAACAAGCCATGAGAGTTATGAAACCATTGAGACATCTGACATACTGTAAACCAGTTTATTACCCTTCTTTTACGCAATATTAGAGTTTAATTCACTAAACTGACATGAAAGGCCTCAAAAAACAATATTTTTAACCAATTCACCTGGAAGACTATTAATTTTAAATGCCTATTTCTGCTTTTTTGTGAATGTTTAGGAGTGCAGATGAAATTTAGCATACAGACTGCTTTAAAGCTTTCAGACTAAAAGTAACAAAACTACGGTTTTAGACGAAAATGCAAAGCGTACTTGCATTGTATTATGAATTGTGCTGTAACTCATTTCAAAATGTTAATATAGTGTGCTTAAAGTTAAATTATAATGAAACACTTGCATTTGGATTTTCAGATTAAAAACATCTATTTATGAATTGTTTTTTTAATGAGGACATGTCCCCAAAGGATTTGTCAATTGTCAAAGCGAACACCTAGGCACCTGCCAAGTAAACACACACATGGGTTCTCTGTAACTACATGAAGAGTTAATTTGCATGGCTGTGAAACAGCTGTTGATTTATTTTCAGAGTCAGAGCTCTAATGTGCCTGCATTAGCAGTTTTGGTTACAAATGACAGCAAAGCTCCCGTGGGCTTCCAGAGAACGCTGTAAGCAAGCCTCGACGGGCTCTTATGCAAATTCTGAACCGTTGCAAGTCACATTTGCAAATTTCTTCCCCACAGCGCACCGAGAATCCCAGAGATGCTCTGCCCTTCAGTGGTTCAACCAATGCCAAACAATGGCAAGCGATGAGAAATTTGCACAACGTGGTACGGTTTCAACAGGTATTTGGCTCTGTGAGGTTGTAAGACGTACAGGGCAAATGTTTCCCAGCTTGCATGTGTTGTTCGGACTAGTGTGTTGTGCTATATATAGTGTCTCTGGTGAGAACCAGCAGCTGTGCTGGGAGCACATCCTTCATATTTGGACTATTTTCTCAATAATTCAAATCAAAGCAGCTCAACCGCCAGCACATGTGCCAATGATAGCCAATGCACACTAATAAAAAGGTGTAAAGTTGATTCTAAATGAACGGCACATCACGATTTGATCATAAAGCATCAACACCTTTGATCACCCCGTGATTCATCTCATCAACAGCACAATGCCCTTTATAGAAAGCCTATGCTTCAAATACATAGTCATTTGAATTAAATGTCACTGCTGATACGCACCATGACTAGTAAGTCAAATCTCAAATAACTGCCCTGATGACTTGTGTTCTACCCACTTAAATGATAGAAGTACTTGTGCTGTCCAATCTATAAAGACTGTGTCTGTTCCCCGAATAGTGAGGTCAAAATATAAATTCAATGCAGGATCTAGAAAAAATCTGATCGTGATTAAACCAGAAAAATGTAAAATAAATGAACAAAAACTATTTTTAAAGTTTGGGCTCCTAAACATTAGATCACTCTCACCCAAAGCAGTTATTGTAAATGAAATGATCACAGATAATCGTTTTGATGTACTCTGCTTGACTGAAACCTGGCTAAAACCTAATGATTATATTGGTCTAAATGAGTCTACTCCACCAAGCTACTGTTATAAGCATGAGCCCCGTCAGACTGGTCGTGGCGGCGGTGTTGCAACAATACTTATTACTGATATAGATATCGTACCTCAAAGTGATGATGTTACTGACCATTTCCTTGTATCGTGCATGCTGCGTATTACTAATATTAACTATATGGCTCCGCGTTATCGTCCGGGTAGAACTATTGTTCCAGCCACCAAAGACAGATTCACAAATAACCTGCCTGATTTATCTCAACTGCTCAGTGTACCAATAAGTACACATGAACTAGACAAAATGACTAGCAACATGGGCACTATCTTCTCTAATACATTAGAAGCTGTTGCCCCCATCAAATTGAAAAAGGTTAGAGAAAAACATACTGTGCCATGGTACAACAGTAATACCCATTCTCTCAAGAAAAAAACTCGTAGTCTTGAGCGCAAATGGAGAAAAACTAACTTGGAAGTTTTTAGAATTGCGTGGAAAAACAGTATGTCCAGCTATAGACAGGCTCTAAA